AATCTAGCATCAACATATTATGGGCAGGGAAAATACACAGAGGCAAAGAAACTGGCCATCCAAGCTCAGAAAATAAAGAATAAAGTTCCTGGAGCAGAATCTCCCCTTATGAATTCTAGGGAAAAAGGTATGAAATGAGCTTCATTTTTTCTTTTTCACTGACACTCATATTTATATGATTAGTGCATTCTCTGACCAATCTTGCCAAGAGGATTTCAAAATTCAAGTCTGAGATGATGCATTCATTTCATAGTAAGAAATATTTCAATGATGGCTTCGCAGAAACTAGTACTTAATTCTTCTTCGCCAACGCTTCCATCCTTCTCACATATATTCGTTTTCACTGAAATTCTGGCTTTTACTCATATCTTGATATTCTGTTTAGTATGTTGAAGAAATTTCTCTTTGTCTGACTGTTTTAATTAATGATTGACTGTGTATCAGTTTATCAAAAGCATCTCATGATTCACCATCCCATACTTTATGTCTGTGCTTGCATTCAAGCCCCTCTTCAACTCTCCTGTTGAGCTGTCCATTATCCTCCAACACATCCACTAAGCTACCAATATGCATCAAGGCCTCTTCAAGTTACCTTAGTTTTGTTGAACTGCAGATACAAGCCTACATAACTTCTGTCTGCAACAGCAGTGCCAATAGCAGATATAGTTATGTTGAAGTGTGCAATCAAAGTACCTTCATGAGATGTAGGAAATCTGAATTTTAAATCTTGGCAAGAACTTCAGCCACCTCAGGCATGTTAAAAAAACTTGATCCCGTATGTATATTTTTTTCTTCTTAAAAACCCCTTACTTTTCCTTTACTTGCCATTAATGCAATCATGTCAGAAGCATCCTCCAATTTAGTGCCTTAAAGCCTGTGTGTTGTGGAATTCACTATCATTATGCTTGCACCAATCTTGAGTTCAAGGCCAATAACACTCATGAATCATTCCACACCCATGCCCTCAAGACATCTCCAAGACAGACCCCTCACCATGATACCTTGTTTCTCCATCCCTCCTTTCTATTATCTCATTATCTTGTTATTCCTTGTTCCCATACCAGGGACCTATTCACTAACAAGTCTTGAGCTTCAGTCTTCTCAGTTAAAATTTTGACTTCCTACCATTAGTGTTTGAAAGTCCGGTCTGGTCTGGTCTTTTGACACCCAGGGGCTTTAACCGTGACCGTAACCAGTCTACCCTTTTCCCAGAAGTCAAAAAGACCGGACTGGACCACAAAAGATCATGGTCTGCGGTCTTTTTGCAGTCTTTAGACTGGTTTCAGTCTGCACCAGTTTTAACCAGTCTATGACCGGTCTTTAGGCTAATATTTTAAAATTATAAATCGGTAAATTTATTAACATGTCTACTGGCTTTAAAACGAGCCCAAGAACGTTAAATTCGGTTAGGAATTGGTGTTTCTATACAATAAATCTGGTACATCTACTATATCCAAAAATATTTTACAATTTAATTCATATCTCTCTCAATTCTTTACCAAATTGTATGTTCTTGGGTGCGTTTTAAAGGGTATTTAAGGGGCTACAAAAGACCGGTCCAAACCGGTCCATTTTTTTTTGCGGTCTTAACATCTCAAAAATAAAAGACTGTAACTGCACGTCCGGTCTGGTTATGGTTTTTTTCCAGTCATGACACCGGACTTCTAAATACTACCTACCATGCTCAGCTTCTTCCATAGCAGTGTCTTTGTCATGTGTGATACTCCCACTGCTGCTCTTGCTGGAAGACTTGCTGACAGAGGAACTAAATGCAGAATGAATGGTGTATGAGGCAGAATTGGCATGATCTATCTTTTCATGAGTAATTAAAAATATTGAGAAAAATGACTGCATACCCTCAGGTCCTCCAATCGGTTTGGAAATTTGAGGTTTAAAATATCCTGGGGGGGGGGGTGCATCCCAATTCCAACCTGAGTAAATGCCCAAATAGGCTGATTGGGTGTGTATCATGTGAATCCCCTGCATGGCTTGTCATCCCATGTTCTGAAAATCGGTGAACCATACTTGAATGTTCTCTCACAGCATGTGCCCATAGAGTGGGTTCATACAATCAGGGTCTAACACCAATAAACTGTCAGGTGCTGCATGGCAATGCAATCGAATTGAAATTGAGGAATGTAAGTGCATAGTGCGACAGGCAAGGAAGGGTTGATAGAGATGGAATGTGCTGCTGTGCATTTTATGACTTGTGCTACACAGCATAGTGCCCACCATAATGAGGTGCCAGTGGCAGGGTTGAGCATGTAAAAAAGCTGGCTGTTAGGAAGTGAAAGAGTGATGAAATCATTGGCAGTGAGGCGATAGTTGAGAGGGTTGATATCATCAATGATGGTGTTCACCAATTGGAAGGAAGATGGAGGTTGGGTAGCAAAGGCATATAAAATTTGATGGCCTGCATTGGTTGAAAAAGAATGAGGATGTATTTCATTGTTTGATAGAGATGGCAGGAAGTGTGTGTTGGAGTTTCTAGTATTTCAGTGATTGGTTACAATTTTTTGGAAAATCTGACAGTTCAAATGATGGTATACATTGAGGTTGAGGTAATGAAATTTGTGATGGCAGAGGGTGTTAAAAAAGTTTAAACATGTCAAAAATGTGTTGAGAGTTAGGGGCATTCCTCAAAATTGACACGACGTGGTTTCAAAGTCTGCACTTTACATAAGCATTACATTCTTCAAAGTTCACTCAGTGGCATATCGCTAATGGTTTGCCCTGGAATTTCACAGTCTGTTGCATGTTGCAGAGTTAGTGGTGATACTAATGGAGCCATATTCTGCCAAATGGGGGGGGATGGTCATGGTTTCTAGAACATCAAACAGACTCAGGTGACTCGAGGAGGGACAAACTTGAAGTTGAAATAAAAACTTTGCCACCCCGTCCAGTCAGACACCTTGTTTATCAGCTGTGGGTTGGGGAATTTTTATTGCCTAACAATGGAAGAAGAGGGTGTAAGAAACTCGATACCTCGCTGAACTGAGCTTTGCTGATACTGAATGTCAGGAGAAAGTCATTTGTCGGGAAGTCCCAGGCTTTATACACACCATTGCTCTCAACGACAACAGGGACCAGTTGGCAATTGGCTACAGCAATAATACTTGCGTCTCAGTTGTTTTGCTTGACGACCCTTGCTCAGGTAAACCTATGCTGATCTTTGAAAAGCAGGGGTTAAAGTCGATCATAGATATACAAAAACCTCTCATAAGACCTTGAAGAGACCCAACCCTGAGAACATTCCTCATAGAATATTTTACCTCTCCAATGGCACAGTTCTCATTGCATATTTCGGTACTTTAGGTTTTTTCAATACTTTCCATTCATCCACTGATTCCTACCGGATTCCAGGAATTCCAGAGGATTCCAACCAGAATACACAGGAATCCAACTGCAATAGACAGAAAATCTCATTGTTTATATATTTGGCCCTTCTATTTTAGACATATGTTTTGGAACAGGGGAATTGACCAAAATAAACCAGTACTTTACCCTCCCCCACATGCTCTGATCAGAGCTGTTCAGAGTTTCTACAATCAGATTGGATCAGCACTGATCAGCATCAGCATTGCTGATCAACACTGAGCTAGAGACTTAATCTGCACTATTCAATACTCAAAATTCACATCCAGTCAAGTCATAGATCTCAATAAATCAAAATTTAATGTATTTTATTGATGTCATTAAATCTATTTTTCTACATACAGTGCATATCAAAAGGGACAAGGAAATGGGGAGGGACAGGGAAAGGGGTACAAGGAAATGGGGATGGACAGGGTAGGGGGAGGGAAAAGGAAAGGGAGGGACAATGAAATGGGGAAGGGGGAAGGAAATGGGGAGGGACAGACAGGTAAGGGGGGAGGGAAAAGGAAGGTGTGGAAGTGCGTCATGTTCCATTCACGACGCCTTCTGTATTTTTCTTTTTCTTTCTTATTTTATGGTTTTACTTTTTATTTTGTTATTTGTATTTTACCCGTTCATTACTGAATGTTGAGAGTGAGTATAGCATGTATTTTCTTAGGGACCAAGGAGAAAGACCAAAGGCGTGCTCGCCGCGTCACCCAACAATGTGCGCCCTTGAAGGAATTGGTCTTGGAAGTTTTCCTGGATTCATACGCCTAAATTAAATTCTAGTTTTGCTTTCTTTCGCATTTCCTTCTTACTTATGACAGAACCTTTTCCGCTCGACGCGCTTTCTGATGGCTAGACGGTAGGGTCGAGCGTCAATGCTAGGGATGTCCGCACTGAGGTTGGCAGTCGCGCACGAAAATAGACCTCTCCCTACATTGTAAGTTCCCCGAGTCATTCCTAGTCTGACGGATTTGCAGGGAGAGGAGAGGGTGAAGTCAGCATTATTTTGTTTCTTTGTGATTCTTTCTATTTTTATTGCTATTTTTAGACGCTTCTCATTTATTTTTGGTCAGGCAGCATGTGAGTATGTGTGTAGCCTTGTGATTGTTTGTAACGTATTTAAAAGGCTCTTCGCGTGTTTTGAATCCATTCTTTCCCCCCCATCAGACTCTCAAGCACATTTAAGTTTTCAAGTTTTTACAGTCTCTGTCCAACTCTCTCCGTCTTCTTTCGACGACGACACACTTCAAGAACCTCTCCCTTTACCTCTCACACATTCTCAAGGTGTATACATTCGGTTCGACGTGCATACATACATACAGTGATTAGATGGTGACATTGGGCGCGTTCACACACCACTCATGATAAGCGCCCGATTCTTCTTCTTCCTTTGTTCTCGCTTTCTTTGTTTTTCACTCTCCTTATCTTTTTCTGTGGCAGACGACCAGTGACCCTTCCCTGTCCTTGAACTTTCGTTCTTCCACAAAGGGGATACATGGAAATGGGGAGGGACAGGGTGGAGGGAAAAGGAAGGGGGGGATGGAAAAGAAAGGGGAGGAGGCAAAGAAAGGGGAGGAGGGAAAAGAAAGGGGAGGAGGGAAAAGAAAGGAGAGGAAGGAAAAGAAAGGGGAGGAGGGAAAGGAAGAGGGAGGGACAGGGAAGGGGGAGGGTTGTTGTTGTCTGTTAACATGGTTGTTGTCCTTTGACGTTGTTGTTGTCTGTTGATGTGGTGGCTGTCCGTTGACATGGTGGTGCATGTTGTCATGGGTGTGTTGTTGTTGTGGGTGTGTTGTCTGTTGGCATGGCCCTCCATTGACATGGTGGGGCATGTCGTCGTCTGTGGGTGTGGTGGTTGTGCACAGATGTGTCATCCGTTGTCCCTTGTCGTGTGCCTGCTGTTAGCGAGCTGGGTTGGGACAAGTTTGGGATGGGGGGTGCTCACCTATGATGATGAACAACAAGTCGTCGTTCGTCGTCTGGTTGCCATGTCGCTATCATGGACATGGCAACATGTTGCCCTGCTTGTTTAGCAGCTGGGGCGCCTGCTGTTAGCGAGCTGGGTTGGGACAAGTTTGGGATGGGGGGTGCTCACCTATGATGATGAACGACAAGTCGTTGTTTGTCGTCTGGTTGCCACGTTGCTATCAGGGACATGGCAACATGTTGCCCTGCTTGTTTAGCAGCTGGGGCGTCATTTCCTGTATCATGGCTGTGGTGTTGTACTGTGGGGGTCGTGGTGGAATGACGACAGACATTGTCGTTTGCTGGCTGTCTTGTTGCCACGTCACAACAGGTTGTTGTGGGTGCTTGTTTCCTGGTGATGTGGCATTGAGGCATTGAGGTTGGGGTGTGGCCTGCTTGTTGTGGGCGATGGGTGGCTGGTGGGCATGGTGGTGGGCATTGGTGATGTGGTGATGTTGCAAGGTGGGTGGGCATTGTGGATGATGGTGGTGGTTGAGAGTGTGTGTGTTGTTTGTTGATGACACCCAAATCAAGCATCAGCAAACACTGGCACTCGATTTGGGTGTCAGGAATTCTGTTCTGTGTTGTTCCGGGAGCATTCCTTCCAGGTGCTTCCTGGAATGATTTCAGCAGAATTTGAATTCCATCAAAATTCCACCAGAATGGTTTGATCAATTTGGCAGGGCCCTCTGCCAAATTTGATTCCTCTGGAATTCCAGGAATGGCCTGGATTCCACCGGATTCTGGCAGGAATCAGTAGAGGACAGTAAAGACCTCGGTTTTTTGTGAGTGGCTTGTTCGAATCCTGATTGAACTCACTGACTTCTTGAAGTGCATATCAGGGGTTCCATCCTTACGACAAGCTGTTTGAAATTGAAGCAAAAAACTGGATGTCAGTCACTGTCGGCCAACAGTACATGCTCAATTACTCACTTCTCATCAGTGGAGGTGTCGCTCTCTCTCTGTCGAAGCTAACTCTTGCAGTTACAAATTTGACAGATGGTATTGACTACTACTCTATCACCCAGCAGTGCTATGCACACTCAATAGGATATGATGCCACAAAGGGCAGCACAACCATTCGTTACACTGAGATCGTGTTCTTAGACAACATGACCACTTCAGTCACCCATTTTTGGGTACCTATGAGGTTATCCAATTCTTTGAAATAGGGAACCTTAGTGGTACCCCATTCCAGAGTGGTATGACCCTCATACCAATTCCATCATACCATGGTATGGATGCCACATACCATTCCACCTCATACCATACCATACCATTCCATCTCATACCATACCATTCCACCTCATACCATACCAAATCACCTCATACCATACCATACCATACCATCATTCCAAAGCTGTCACAGGGTCTCTGGGGTCCTTTTTCCAAAATATGAAAAATATTTCTGCTGGCTGCAATTCTGGTTGGTTGGGCTCCATTTTTTGTGGGCCGGTTCATCACATTTCTTCTGACATTTTGAGCTACAATTGGTGGCTATCTTTATCTTTTGAAAACCAGCAGAAATCTCCCACAATCTGCTCAAATAGCCTTTATCCCAGCCCTTCTAATATCCATCACAAGCCACCTACCATGCCTACTTATATCCAGGCAATGTCATGTGAGGGTGACAATCTATTTAGCCTTCAACTCTATTACATCCAATCACTTTATTCAAGAAACACATGTTTGTGCACTTTCTTGATTGTATAATAGTGTCATACATACCATGGAACACAAACATATCAGGTAACTGGCTTGCCTTTGGGTGCACCAACTAATCTTATACCTGCTCTGCACCTCAAGACATAACAACAGGGAATTGCATTTCACATGTCAAGAAAAGTTCTGCACTATATGTGCATATTGCGAGGCTCAACTGTAATGTGACAGGATGTTTAAGGAACCCCTGCTCTGCACCTTAATAAATATCAACAGGGCTCTACACGTCAAGAACAGTACAACACCATATGGACATATTGTGAGGCTCAAGTTGGACTGTTACATGATAAATTGTGTAACACAATGAAGTGTTTCTTGATAAATTGGTGTGTGGGCAGTTATAGGAGAAATGCAGGATCAATGAGCTAACATTTTGTCATTACCTCTCAATAGTACACCCTGGCATATGCACCTCCTAAGACTATATCATATCAATGGAATGATCCCACAGACATCAAACACCAGTTGCTCATCAGAAAGGTGCAACATCTGAGTTTATGTGCACAATGGAGGGAAGAGGTGTCTCTCATACCAGGTGCATACTGTATGTTGCATGGATGGGGACCAAGTGAAGCAGAAATGGAGAATGCATTGGAAGAATTGTCACAGGAACATGTTGATGATGAGGGAAGTGATGATGAGCAGTTAAACTGCACATATGATATTGAAGAAGAGGACAATAACAATGTTATTGAAGAAACAGAAGTCTTGGCAGCATCAGATGCATACAGAGCAGCAGATAATGGGTTGTCATTTGGGAGATGGGATTTGGAGAACTTGTGGGAGGATGTGGAAGATGGAGAAGAAAGTGTCTTTGAAGCTACAGCCTCAAGCAAATGGCCAAGGCAAAAGTAGCATGAGATAGAAGAGTTGTGATGGTATTGGATCGAAAGCTTGTAATACTACGACTTTGGACTTTTATGGCAGAGTAGGGTGATGGAGAGGGTGGTAAGGTAAGTGTTCTATGTGATATACAAGATTGAAAATGTTATGGTAGAGGTATATTGAAAGTTTTGAATGGTATGATGTTTGGTGTGGTATGGTTCCTTTTGTTTGGTATGGTATGATTGATGGTATGATCACAAGTCAATCATATGGTATGAATGGTATGATGTATGGTATGATTCCATTTGTATGGTATGATTCCATTTGTATGGTATGATTCCATTTGTATGGTATGATTCCATCTCTATGGTATTATTCCAATGGTATGGCATGGTATGATTCCATCTCCATGGTATTATTGGAATGGAATGGTATGGTATGATTCCATCAGTATGGTTTCAATCCAATGGTATGGCATGGTATGATTCCATCTCTATGGTATTATTCCAATGGTATGGTATGGTATGATTCCAACTCTATGTTATATTCCTATAGTATTTAAAAATCAATTGTGAAGTGGTTTGCTCTATATGCATGTTGGAGGAATGGCCAATAGGTGGTAAATCATAGAGCTGGTAGGTAGGTAGTATTAGGCACATACTCAAAAAGGAACAAGGGCAAAGGACAACACAATACAATGGAGCTGAGTAAGTTAAAGAGTCAATTACTGTTGGAGAACTTCCACATAAACCAAAGAGTGGAAGAACTGTGGGGGGTCTTCAACAGCCATCCATCATTGATTGTGCAACTGTTGTATGACCACATATGCACATGTTGATTGAGAAACAACTGGATGGCTGTCCATTCAATCTGCATGTGATTATTTTCATTGTTCTCCAACATGACTATAAGTCCAGTTGGCAAGTGGTCAGTGACATTATCATCATCAATGTCACCCTGTTGAAAAAATTGATTACAGAGAAAGACATTTGTTAACGAGCTTGCCTAGAGTGGTAATTTTGGCTAAAGTTGATCCCTTGGCAACCAATGAAGTCTTGCATTGTTGTTGACTGAAATTAATTGGTCTGTAAAGATATAAGATTTCATGTGGCTTGTGATGGATTATTTCAGGTTTAGAGTGGATGGCTAAAACCTGGGATAAAGCCTAATGAAGCTGATTGTTTAGATCAAGTTCAACCTATAGTCTCCATTTGTAGCTGAAAATGTCAGAAGAAATGGGAAGAACCAGCCCACAAAAAATGGAGCCCAATGGACCAGAATTGCAGCCAGCAGAAATATTTTTCATATTTTGGAAAAAGGACCCC